CCATTGTGAGATTTTTTTTAAACAACCCAAATGTTTTTAGTCTTTCAAAAAATAGTTTCCAAAAGTCCCAAACTCACCAAGCAATCCAAATCAACACAAGCTGTTTCATTTAGCACTTTCTTCTTTTTATTACTTTCTCTTCCTGGGGTAGAATTCAATTGCAAAGTTCCAAAATGTATTTTTTAGAAGTCTTATTACAGTTTATCTCTGATCTTATAAGCTCCAAACAGTCTCCTCTAGCAAAGTCTTAATATAAATTCTTTACCTCTCCCTTCCCACTTGTAGCAAAAAAAGAATTTTTAAATTTTTTAATTCCAATGTTCAGAAATCTTTAATGTCCCCTTGGCTTTAATTTTCAAATTTAATTACCTTCTGTTGCCAAAATGGGTTCTTCCGATTTCCATCTGCTATCTCTGTAGGGAAACTTTCCCTTTTCACTTTCATCCGCCGGTTTTTACGATCTTCTTAGGGAACAATGTATCTTTAAGAAAGTTGAATTTCCAGCGTATTTAGATCTTACTTGTTGTCCCGGTTCAGCCAAAACCTTTCACTTTCTCAGCTTCCTCCTGCACATTCTTGTCCGGCTGAAAGCTTCTTTGTGGCGGCCATTGCTGACCGCTGCTCCATCACCTTTGGAAAAGGGAGTTAAGCTGGCTGAGGTGGGGGGTTGCGATTCTCCCGGACCCCTGCCCAGATCTCCCCTATCTTCAGTTATCTCTATGGGATAACTATAGCCTCCAAATCCAACTGGATCAGGGGCACTCCAGCAGCGAGCGCAGCAGGAACCGCGCATGGTCGCGGATTCCTGCTGCTGCCGAAGCCTTGCAAACCAGAAGTCTCTACTTTCTTGCCACCTGTTTGATTAATGCACATGGTATGGCACTCACTGTTAAATGCTTGGTTTTGGTTGGCATCAAAGTTGATAATCTTACCTGCACAAACATCTATTTTGCATGTATTTGCATCCTTATTAGTTTTAGGTTGCTGGGGACAGAAATGTTCTGATTCCATTAATTCTCTGTCCCTGCTGTTCAGTTTAAATGTTTATCCAGGAAATCTGTGAATTTAATGCCAAGTAACTCAGTCCCTTTCTTTGATGGATGCAAACCATCTCTTTTGTACAGCTTCTCTTTTTGATCTTCTTGTGTGACTGGGGTGTAATACCTGATTCAAACTTTCTCCTTTCCACAGTAAGTTCTTCTTCTAGGACCATGATCTCTGGCTTACTTGAGTTATCATTATCACAACTACTTTGACCTGTCACTTCAGTGTCCCTATTAAGGTCAGCAAGTGCACTGTATCTGTTATGCTGGGACACAGCAAAAGCTTTGCATTTATGGTTCACAGCTCTCACCCTGCCAGATCCTACGGTTGTCCATATTGCCCTTTTCCTGTAGGATCTTTGTGGTAGTGGGGGCTGGTAGCACATCAGCTCAATAGATGGCTGGATTGGGCACCTAATTTCTGCTTGGAGAGCACAGATTAGAGATTCTATATAGGTAACCTGTCCATGTAGACTGGTAATTTTTTTACAAAGAGGACAGTATCCAAGTTTGAAAAGAGTATTGAGAAAGACAGCTGTAAAACAAGTATTACACTGAACTAAGCCGGTCATTTTGAAATAAAATAAAATCACAATCTCAAGCGCACTTACCCTAAATATATTATTGGTATTCTTGGTTTATAGTTATATGATTTGTGCGGTTAGGCGCACGGGCCGTGATCTTTCTTCTTTCTACTCACTTTCTGCTTCCTTCACAAGCAGCCAGCAGCTCCTCCCACAACCTCTGGGAATTTGAAATGCAACGGAAGCAATTCAAACTGCCTCTTATTTAAATAAAATAACATCAAATTTTATATGGCAAATGAAAAAACCAAGAGTCAAACTGAAGTTGCTGCAAGATGCCACAGAAAGAGCAGGATTTGGGCTACCCGACTGGGAACTGTATTATAGAGCTGCAATTTTAATTTGGGTGAAGGATTGGATAAACCATAGAAATAAAGGAATATTAACATTAGAGGGTTACAATTTGCAGTTGGGATGGCATACCTTCCTTTGACAGGATAAAGCAAAAGGGCTATAGTTATGTTCAAAGACACAAAGTTAGACAGACTCTTTTAAATACATGGAGAAAATTAAAAGAGAAATTTATGTAGAAACACCTATTTGGTTATCAATTTTGGAAGTATTGATGCATCCACATCTATTTAGACAAGAAAAAATTATCACCTATGAAGATAAATGATAAAGGTGTCAGATCCGTGTATCTGACATTTCTTCAGTGGAAGAAGAAAAGGGGGGGAGACTGATAAAGAAATCCTTTCTTGATGTTACCTAAATATATTTAATCTTATATTGAATTTGTATAACCCACACATGATACAATGGAGGGTAAGAAGCCAGATGGCTGGAACCTATCACCTCTGAGAGGCACAGCCAGGAGATGAGAAGATCATAAAAATTCCACAGTGAGATGTGTCCTGGGAATCTCTGGAAAAGTTCGTTCTAAAAAGGGAGTGGGGAAAAATTAGGTATGCCCTGGGAAACTGTGAAAAAGATCGTTTCTACAGAAGGGGTGGAGCGGGGATTAACATACTGGCTTTTGTTTCATCAAATACACATCGAGATAAGGGGAGGGGTTTCTAACCTCCCTTATTTATCCCTGTATGCCTGAGGGACCTGGGACGCTGCTTTGAACTCCTACATGAATTGTCTCATCTCAATAAACGATGCCTTTTGATACATTTTGTTCTGTATTAACATTCTTGAAGACTCGCATTCTGATTGGTCCACCCAGACCGCAATCCGATTGGTTCAAGGAACGCCTGTGATTGGAGCGCTAAGAATCTACCGCGATTGGCCGAGCCGATCGCGGGAGATTCAAAGCGCTGCCATTGGCCGCCGAGCCGCCGGCCGGCTGTATAAAGCCAAGCGGCTCACACGCTTTAAACTGTCCTTGCTCAGAGCTGAAATAAAGAGCTGATTGTTCACTTCCGCGTCTCGCCTCTTATGTGACCCGATCCACCGATTCAACACTGGCGACGAAGGTGGGATCGTGAGGCGAGGACCAACTAGCACGTGGCAAACGGTGATCGGCGCCTTGCACAATGGCCAGCACCCTGCCGCCCGCTCCATTCGACCCAGCAACCGAAGACTGGGAGTCATATATCAATCGCTTCCAGATGTTTCTGGAATGCAGCAACCTCAAAGACGCCAACGGCCAGAGGAAACGGGCAGTATTCCTCACACACTGCGGGCCCGCAGTGTTCAAAATGGCCAAGGCACTGGCAAAGCCCGCCGACGTCAAGGAGATGGACTGGGTTGACCTCGAGCCCATCTTGCGACGCCATTACGCCCCTACCGTGCCCATCCTCATTCGGAGGCACGACTTCTACCGCCGAGATCAGCGCGAAGGCGAGACCATTGGCGACTTCGTGGCCCAGCTACGGAACCTGGGAGGCCCCTGCGAATTCCCCGACCTGGACCAGGCACTTCGGGACCGAGTCGTCCTTGGACTCCGAGACCCCGTGCTGCAGAGCCGGCTGATGGCCAAAGGCAACATCTCCCTCGCCGACGCCCTCACCGAGGCCACCGCTGCCGAGGCCACCCGCCAGTCAGCAGCCCGGATGAGGCAAGCCAACACGAATGAACGGCCACCGACCCATGAAGCAACCCCCACCGCCGCGAAGCCCGGGGAACCCAACCGTCGAGAAACAACCACGCATCATGGCGACCTCGAACCCCAATCCGACACCGAGGACGACGACGACGAGGAAATCCACCAGCTGCAGACCGAGCGCGACCGCCGGGACCGCAGGGGACGTAAGTCGGGCTTCCATTGCGCCGGCTGTGGCGGCGATCACCCCCGCTCCGAATGCCATTTTCTCGACGCCATTTGCAGGCATTGTGAGAAGCGGGGCACATCGCCAAGGTGTGCCGCAACAAAAGGAGCTACAGCCCACGACGCCGAGACGGCACCCCCCCCAGGCACCGAGACCGACCGACTGAGAGCCGGTGGAGCCGCGACAGCCACAGCAGATGATTCAGCGAGGCACAGCGGCACAAGGAAACCCACCAGATGGTCGTCATCGGCCATTCATCAACCATGGATGCCCGGAAGGTACACGTGGCCCTGTGAATCGAGGACCAGCCCTGCGAGATGGAAGTGGACTCCGGGTCCTACCTCTCAATGGTCTCTTGGCGCACAATCAAGCGCCTAGTCCCTACCATCCGCCGCAACGAGCTAGACGACCAGAAGCTAATCCTGAAATACTATCAGGGAAACCGCATCCCTGTGGCCGGCATCGGGCACTTTAAGGTCACGTTCAAGGACCACACCGACATCTTGCCACTCACAATCGTGGACCGGGACCGCCCCAGCTTGCTCGGCCTGCAATGGTTCGCCCTGCTGGGCATCGAGGTGACGGGCATTCACCACACAGACAAGGCCGACTGGGAAGCGACGCTCGTCAAAGAATTCCAGGAGGTCTTTGACAACTCGCTAGGCAAGTACCGAGGGCCCCCTATATCTTTCAACCTTAACCCAACATTGCCCCGATCCACCTCAAACCCCGGCGAGTGCCGTTTGCGCTCAAGCCGAAAATCGACAAGCAACTAGACAAGCTCGTCGCGCAACGGGTACTAGAGCCCATCGACCATGCCCGTTGGGAAACGCCCATAGTCACCCCCATCAAACCCGATGGCTCCATAAGAATCTGCGGGGACTACAAGGCCACCCTCAATCACGCGCTGCAGCAAAGCGCCTACCCAGTCCCAGTAGTACAGCACCTTCTGCACTCACTGGGGGGAGGCCGGGTCTTCGCAAAACTCGACTTGGCACAAGCATATCAGCAATTGCCGGTCGATGCGGAGACAGCCGAAGCGCAAACGATTGTTACCCACCGGGGGGCTTTTCGGTGCAACTGACTCCAATTTGGAGTCAGCGTCGCCCCAGGAGTCTTCCAAAGTCTCATGGAAAGGCTCCTCCAGGGAATAAAAGGGGTGGTTCCCTACTTCGATGACGTGCTGATCGCAGCCGCCAACAGAGAACAATTGGAGACCCATTTAAGGGCGGTGCTTAACAAATTCAAAGACGCCGGCCTTAAAGTCAAAAGAAACAAATGCCAACTCCACACCGAGAGGGTCGAGTTCCTGGAGTACCTCCTGGACCGGCACGGAATACACCCGACCGGGAAGAAACTCAGAGCCATCAAGGAAGCCCCCACACCAACAAACAAGGCGGAACTACAGGCATTTTGGGGACTGCTTAACTTTTACAATGTTTTCCTACCCCAAAAGGCGACCGTGGTGGAACCCCTACACCGGTTACTAGATAAAGCGGCCATCTGGACCTGGGGGAAGCGGGAAGAGACTGCGTTCCAACGAACAAAAAACCTGCTGACATCGGACGCAGTCCTGATCCAGTATAGCGAGACCCTCCCGCTCATGGTAACGTGCGACGCATCACCCTTCGGCATCGGAGCAGTCCTCAGCCACACCCTACCCGATGGGAAGGAAGCACCCATCGCCTTTTTCTCCCGAATTTCAGAAAGAAATTACAGTCAACTGGACAAAGAAGCCCTCGCCATCGTCGCCGGAGTGAAAAGGTTCCACGAGTACCTTTACGGTAGGAACTTTTCAATCATAACAGACCACAAGCCCCTGCTTGGGATACTCGCAGGGAACAAGGCCACCCCGAACATCCTGTCACCACGGATGACGCGGTGGTCCGAGTTCCTTGCCGCATACTCATTCGAACTGTCACACCGGCCCGGCAAAAACATTCCGCACGCTGACGCACTAAGCCAGTCACCACTACCCGACCTAGACGACGACCCAGCACCCACAACGACGACCCTGCAAATCGAAACCCTACCCAGCCCACTCTTAACCACGCCAGACATTGCCCATGAAACAAATAAAGACAAACGGCTGGCGCGGGTATTGAGCTGGGTAGAACGGGGGTGGCCAGAAAATGACGGCGGCGAGCAGTTCAAAGCCTTCCGAAACCGCCAAACTGAGCTGTTCTCACAAAGGAGGTGCATACTCTGGGGCGACCGGGTAGTCATACCGGAAGCGCTGCAAAACAGAGTGTTGGCAATGCTGCATGAGGGACACCCGGGGATCATCAGGATGAAAGCCCTGGCCAGAAGCTACGCTTGGTGGCCAGGGATGGACAAACAAATCGAGACATGGGTCACCGGTTGCAGCAGGTGCCAAGAGTCGAGAGCCACCCCCCCGCCGCGCCGGTCCTGGAATGGGAGACCCCGAGAGGACCATGGTCGCGAATACACATAGACTTTGCCGGGCCAACCAAGGGGCATACATTCCTCATCACTGTAGATGCTTACTCCAACTGGCTGGAGGTAAGCACTATGAGGGCAACAACAACAGAAGCGGTCATCGACAAGCTCAACGGACTCTTTGCAACACACGGGTTACCGGATGTCATAGTGTCGGACAATGGGCCACAGTTCACGGCACTGGCATTTGGAAAATACCTAGCCGAACGGGGCATCAGACACGCCTTAACCTCGACGGCTCACCCGGCGGCGAACGGTAGGGCAGAACGGATGGTCCAATACACAAAAAAAGCCATCCAAAAAATCGAAACCGGCGACATCCAGGAAAAAATAAACAAACTACTCTTCATACAGCACATCACCCCGAACACGACCACGAACAAGAGCCCAGCGGAGTTACTAATGGGAAGGAAACTGAGGTCTCCACTGGACCACCTACACCCCACCTACAACCCAGAGAAACCCCCGGACTCCTCCAGCCGGTACCGGGCATTCAACATCGGGGACACGGTCTACGCAAAGAACTTCACGGGAGACCCCCTCTGGGTTCCCGCACAAATAACACAGGTAACCGGGCCCCGATCATACAGACTCCAAACAACAGACGGGAAGAGCTGGAAACGGCACATTGACCAGCTACGGTCCAGACTAGCCGCCAACACCCCCGACGCCTCGGCAACGGCAACCAAGGAAAGCAGAGAGGGAGGGGAAGCCTCAACATCCAAGCCGGTAAACGACGGCAGGCCGGAATCATCAACGGCACACACCCCAACGCAAGCTGAACACCCCCCATCAGAAGATAGAAACGCTCAAATAAACCAACCATACTCACCAGCAGACCTCGAACTGTCGCAGACGGGATCTTCACCTGGAAGGTACAGCCAAGCCAGCTCAACCAGCCCGGAAAGACCGAGCGAGAGCAACAGGGACCACAACTCGACCAACCCAGGTAGTCCGGGCGGGAGTTGCAGCGACAGGCCCGGCTCACCCTTCCAGGCGGTTCCATCAGCGAAGTGGAGAGCGACGTGGAGCCCGTCCGAACCGGCCGACGACCACACACCGACTGAGCCACGCAGGTCAGCCAGACAGGTTCGAAGCCCCACCTACCTGCGCGACTACGTCACGACACTGCGTCGGACGAAACCATGAGGGGAGGGGTGTTCTGTATTAACATTCTTGAAGACTCACATTCTGATTGGTCCACCCAGACCGCAATCCGATTGGTTCAAGGAACGCCTGTGATTGGAGCGCTAAGAATCTACCGTGATTGGCCGAGCCGATCGCGGGAGATTCAAAGTGCTGCCATTGGCCACCGAGCCGCCGGCCGGCTGTATAAAGCCAAGCGGCTCACATGCTTTAAACTGTCCTTGCTCAGAGCTGAAATAAAGAGCTGATTGTTCACTTCCGCATCTCGCCTCTTATGTGACCCAATCCACCGATTCAACACATTTGGTGTTCAGAAGTTTATTCCTGTTAATTGAATGGGAAAAAAGTTCTGTAGCCTGACATAAAGCAGTGTCTGCAATAGAGGTCAGCCTGGAGAGGAATTAAAAAAACAACAACCCTTCACTCTACCGAGGGGATCCTGAAAGAAAGAAAAATGTCTGAGTACAGCAAGGACCAAGGGGAAGCTGAATGCTGGGGAGAAACGTCAACAGGTACCCAGCCAGATACTGACTTGGTGCACCCCATCGAAGATAGCGAAGCTGTGGACTTCCGGTTGTCGGCTTTGCTGACAGCAGGGATTCGCCTTCTCTGCGATTCCTGCTGTGCTAGCCGCCTTGGTGCCTCCGATCCTGACGGATTTGGAGGCTAAGGCTGCCCTGTTGGGGCAGCTGAAGAGAGGGGGGATCCGGACGGGGGTGAGGAGCATCGCAACCCCCCCCCCC